GCGGAGGTCGAAGCCGCCGACGGCGAGGGCGACGGCCATCGCCGTCGCCGCCGCGTCCCAGAGCCCGCCGTCGTCGTGGACGACCTCGATGAGCACCTCGACCAGGAGCTGCGGGATGGACTCGAGCAAGACCGCCTGCTCCGCGACCCCCTCCAGGGCCAGGGCGAGGGCCTCGCCCGCGGACGGCGCGGCGCCGTGGACGCGGCAGGACACCCGCCCCCGCGCCCCGCGGTACTCCTGCGTGAGCTGCTTGGGCGGCCGCACGAGGCCGATCACGCGCGTGTGGCCGATCTCCACCGTCGCGCTGCTATGGCAGTGCGCGAGGACGTTCGTCGCGAGGTGCAGGGCGCGGACCTCGTTCGGCGCCCCGCGCGCGGCGTTTGAGCTCATGGGAAGCGCCTCCTCTCTGGGTGTTCGGCCGCGCAGCTGTCCTGTCCCTGCCTCGCGGTTGTTCGTCAATTACTACTACGGCTACTACTGAAAAGAACACAGGGAGGAGCACCATAACGAGACCGTTACAGTGAAGACAAATTTAAAGACAGCCCATTTTCACATAATGGGGATAAGGCTAACATTCAGTACTACATAATTTCAATGGAAAATAAAATAGTTCCAAGCCCTTTGGTTGGATTAGCAAATAACGAATTCATTTGTGCTAAACAAGTCGATAGATCTTTGGGGGGCTGTTTCAAAATTTGGATCATTCGTCAAACAAATGCAAGATGTCTTCATCGGCCAGGTTACCCAGGACCGAGTTCTCATCGTCGGGATCAAGCAACGCGCAGCATGGTTCGCAGTCTAAACTCGTTGCCTTCGCGGCGGGCTCTCGCGTTGGGTTGCTGTGCTCCCCCATCAACATTGCGATCTTGTCATCGATGTTGGAATACGACGTACGGTTCACATCCTTGGCCCTGTCCCTCCCCGCGCCCTCCCCACCGGCGTGGAGGAAATCCAGCAGGCTTTGATATTCGCTCGAGTGGTCGATTTTCGAGCGCACCTGCACGACGCGCCACCGCCGCAGCGCCTCATCGCCCTTTCCGAGCGTCCATCCCGTTTGGAAGGCCTCATCACCGCCGTGGTCGTCTTCGCGCAGGGTACGCTCAATTCGCGCCAGGAGCGAGTCCGCGGCGGCCGCGGC